CCGCACACCATACGACATATCTTCTAAAGCCTCGACCTTTCGGCCCCGCCAAAGTCTTGTTTCAAAGATTGGGTTGCGATAATTGGGTGGGGTCGTGCTGAACACCTTTATGAAAATAGAATCCTAGTAATACTTGTGGTCCCTTCTTGGTCAATTTGGACAAGTCACTTGTGAGTTCAACCTCAATCATTTGCCCATATCGATTCAGGTCTCTTTTTCTGTCCCATCATCAACAGAGTAACAAAGAAGAATTCTCAAGTTCGAACTCATTACTTAGATCCGTCCGAAAAAACGCAATTCTCTACCAGTCTCTCATTCGAAGCCACGTCCGCCATGTCCGACCCTACTTCGTCTCGTTCCACCATCTCCCCATCTTCCATGTCATGCCTCGTCCTCCTCCCCTCCGCCACCCACGCACCTCTTCAACCTTCCATTCTAGCACATCTCTCACGACCTGCACCTCTCATCAGTCGTCAGTCCGGAAGTACAGTTCCTACCACTCGACATTTAAGCAACTCTGCTTCGTCCACTCCTCAACCCGACAAAGACCTGGAAAGTCAAGCTATCGATCATGTCATATCTGCAGGAAGACGATTATCCCTCGCCCCTGGTATTGGCACCGGCACTCAAACACTTTCCACACAAATGGTCTCATCAGTTTCTCAAGGATCACCAGACATGTCTCACTCTCCGTACACTTCCTCACCCATCATCAGTTCCACTGGTACCTCTCCTGGTGCTTCTCCCTACATGAGACACGCCCCCTTACTCGGAGCAAAACGGACAACAACGACGAAGGGTAGATCACGTCGTCCGCAAACCTCGGCCGCGGCTCAAGGACCGACAATGCTCTTATCACCTCCGAGCGACGGGAGAAACAGTGTCGCCCTACCTGGCGGAATGAGGGGCAGAGGTTCCGGGCGTAATCGACCAGGATGGGAGGGAGACGAAGTCGTTTCTGTTCTCCGAGCAAGTGGTTTAGAAGGTAAGTGTTTCGGTTTATCCTATTTTAACCCATGTGATTATTTTCGAAAAGCATGCTGTTTATGAGTGGGGAAATGTTGATGAGTTTGTCTCCTCAACTCCCACCTTTAAAGGATGATGTGCCTGTAACGCAAACTGATTGACTTTTCCCCTTTCCCCTCCTTGTTCCTATTTACCTGTGCTTTCCCCCGTCTCTTTCATCTCGAACGTTTTTTTTCCTACCCTTTCTCCTCTAACACATCCCTTTACTCCGCCCATAACACCTGAGGAGTAATCTGTCGATCCCTCTACCGCCCTTTGTCCTTCACGATGGAAAGCGGATCAGTGGCAACCCCTTGACTTTCACAGATGCGATGACTCCTAACTCTAAAAACTCTCATCCTATCCTTTCTTCCGACTTGACATTGTTTTCTGTTCCACCTTTGTTTCCCTCTAGCTGAGAGCTAACCCGATAGTGACCGTTCTTCGAAACGTTCCCCATCTTCTTCCCATTCTCTCTCCACCACGAGATCAACCGACTTTTCAACCAATCCATCATTCTTCTCTGAACGACCGATCATCTACACCTCATCAGCCCATCCCTGTCATCTTGGTCCCACTGTCCGACTCGCCGTCCCTACCATCTTTGTCCCTCTCGTTGTTGCTTTCGCAGGGAACCACTCCTTCTGCGGTGTGTTTTCAGCAGGATTTACTGGACCGGGCTCGCCGGACGGAGGAAGAGTGGCTGCCTTTCGCTGTGGAGCAAATCCGAACAGTCATCTCGATGCGTGATCGTGCTACGACAACTGAAAAACCTATCGTCATTGCTTTCTCCGCCAATCCAGTATTGACACAAACCACCACTACCGCCTGTGTTGCGGCGGGAGCGGCGGGCGTGTTGAAACCGCCCTACGATCTGGAAACCTCTCGTCTTGTTTGGCGGATGGTCATGACTGCTCGTGAAAGTCCTGCGGATCAAGCGACACATCTTCATTCTCAGTCTCAATCTCAAATTCATTCTCAGCCTCCACTTCAAGCCCGAACACGATCTCACAGTCGGTTAGGAAGAGAAAAGAATGATGATCCTCGAGTCATTCTACCACCCACAGCACTCACCTTTGGCGGTGAACATGAAGGTGAGATGATCCTCAGTGCCGCTGTTCGAAAAATGCACAAAGCACATGAATGGCATTCGACTTCTCGTAAAAATTCCATCGTCATACCTCTATCTACACCGGCATCAAGGACACATTCCTTCGCTTCCACTACACCTACTACTGCGGCGTTCAACATCTTGAGACAGGATTACGAAGTTCCCATGCCTGAAGCAAGCGACTATCATCCTTTTTTGGAATGTCTCTGCGCATGTAGACCCAGTATCGCGGCAAGACGGCAGAGTGTGGACATAGGAGGATTAACAATCGCTATGAAAAGAGCGTCGAGGGTTTTTGAAAATTCGCCAGATCCACCATTCAGAAATAAATCTGGGAAGCGAAAAGAAGAATTTACGTTCCCTTTTACACCTTCGAAAAAAGCAAATATGTTGCAAATGGAGGAGAAATTGGACGGAAAGACGGATGCGGAGAGGAAGGAGGAGAAGAAAGTTGAAGAGGAGAAAAGTACCAGATTGGCAGAACTGTTAGGTGCAATGTGGTATCAGACCACCAAGGCGATAGATATACAAATGGCCGATTATGCTCAGTAAGCCTTTCTTTTCCTCGTCTTCTCTACTCATTATGTGATCCACCAGTGCAAATACTCTGTCTATCGACCAAAAACGTTTCGCCCAGCTCTTCTCTCGCATGTGCGTGAAGCTTCATCCCACCGTGTCTTAGCTGGCGAATATTCTTCCCAGATTGCAACTGGTAGGGTGTCTCAAGAAAAGAGCAGAGCTGAACAATAGCCTCTCTAAACCTATATCACCCGCACTCCGAACCAGACTTCTTGACGCATTATCAACCTGGAACTTCCAACCCCACCTTCTCTCTCCTTCTGATGTATTCCACTCCGCTTGTATCCTCTTCGATGCTGTTCTCCACATAAAAGGCATCCATGAACTTCATCTCGAATGGGACCAAGTTCGCCGCCTGCTCTTCGCCATCAGGGCCATATATCACGCTCCTAACCCTTATCACAATTACGTACATGCCATTGATGTCCTTCAAGCCACTTATTCATTCTTGATTGCCATTGGTGTTGCTCCGCCATACGAGTATCTCCGGACGAGAAAAGAAGGGATTGTTTGGCAACCCAAGGAAGAGGTGGGAGAAGGGGGAACGAGTAGGGCGAGAGAGGTGATGAGACCACAAGATGTTTTGGCGGTGCTGATCGCTGCCATGGGACATGATATAGGACATCCTGGTTTGTCTAATGCTTTCATGGTGAGTACCTCGTCTTCATAGCTCTTTCTCGATTATCAGAGTTTGCTCTTCCTTCTCCGGTTCTTTACTCATCTACTCCCTGGCGCTCCCCTCAAGACACACCATGTCTGATCAGCTTCCACAAATCGCACATTTGCGCTACCACTCCCACATTGTGAAATCAGATTCCGTCTCGTCTCTCCTTGTTACTCGACGGGTTTCGTTCCCGCTGTTTCTTTTTCTACCCAAAGTTTGGGGGTGGGAGCCACGGTCCGACCGTGGTGATCATAGGAATCATGCTGATCTTTAGAAAAACGCCCGAACTCCGCTTTCCCAAGTATACGACGATAAATCCGTTCTCGAAAATATGCACTGCATGCTCGTCGTTCAACTCCTTCGAAAACATTCCTTCGGCTTTCTCCTCTATTCTCCTTCTGAAACCGACCTCTTCTGTCCCGCCCGTATCGAGTTTGATCGTCGAGGTTTCCGACGCGTGCTATACTCCACTATACTAGCTACGGACATGTCACTACATTTCGCCTGGATAGCACGATTGAAAGAATTCACCGAATCTCTCGATTCTACACCCCTTTCATCGAATTCCTCAACACCCACCAGCTCCCGAGGGATGGATTGGCCAAGGGATGAAGAAGAAGATAGGGTAATGTTCTGCCAAGCTTTGATAAAATGTGCAGATATAAGTAATCCAACTAGACCTATAGATGTGAGTGAACATTGGAGTAGTGTCTTATTAGAAGAGTGGGCTATACAAGCTAGTTTGGAGCAAGAATTAGATTTACCAGTTTCGGTCATTGCTAGTGCGGATGCTGCTCTACAGGCAAAGGGACAAGTTGGGTTTATAGATTTATTCACTTTACCTTTATTTGAAGCTGTTGCAGACGTTCTTCCCGGTAAGCAATTCTTTTCAAATCATCGATATCTCCACATCCCCCTCCTCATAAGGCTTTCCGGTTGGCAACCTTTTCTTCATTTCATAATCGAAGAGAAAGGATGTAATTGACGGACAGAACTTCAATGTTACGCCATTTTGTGCGCCGAGAATCGTGATCTGTGGCAGAAAAGATTGCAAAGTTTTTCATTAGATTCTCAACAGGCAGCAACGAAATTGATTCAACCAGCCGTTGAAGCCGCAAGTCGAGATGCAAGGTTCAAGACTCTTTTCCCATTGTCTTTACCTATTTCTCTTGTGGAGTCGGAATCTCTTCAGCCTGGGCCTTTCCCACGGTTCATAAAATCCTCACTGAAACCGACGAACGTATCAACAACAACGGTGGAAATGTCGTTTGCAGATGCATCAACAGGGAGAGAAAAGTTATCATCACCTTCATTCCCCAACTCGATATCGATCCACTCCACATCGTCATCACTCGAAGAAGAAACCTCAGGAGTATCACGCGGATCAAAAGGAGAAAAGTCAAATCATATCTCTTCATCCATCCCTAATTCAGTTTCTGCACTAGCTGAACCTGATACTCCTCGATTAACCACTTCCTTCAACTTCCCATTCAATAATCTAATCGACAGTCAAAACAATCTTCAATCTGATGACCAAAAACCAGACAATCCGCCGCCATACGATCAAACTTTAGTTAATTCACAACCCAACATCACTATGGAAACAAACAAAGTCGAATCTCCTGCTGCTAAAGCTATGAGAGCGGTTTATCATGCTAATCTGTTGGATCAACGACATAGATTAGGAAGTTGGTGTAGAGGTGTACCTATCCCAGGATTGGAAAAAGGTTGGGTCTTGGAAAGAAGGATGTCAACTCCTGTTGATGGTGTATCTATGGCTGTTTAGGTTGGGATAAACCGGATGGTAGTGGCATAACGAAGTATGAGTGACCGAGTTGGGTTTGGGAAGGGATATTATCTAAGTCGCAAGTGGGGTGGATGTGGTGATGGTTGTGTCGAGGTTTTATACCGATAGAGCTATGAGCATTAAGGATTGTAGTGAGGAAAGATAAGGATGAGAAAGAAGTAAGAGATGATGAGCGAGGAAGATGGAACCCGAAGAGGGTAAAAGGTACGACAGATGAGTCAACAAAAAGACACAAGGGACAAGGGAGATGGGACCAGGACAGAGAGGATTGAGATAAGGGGATAGTCAAGGGGAAAAGAAAATCTTTGTATTGTATCTTGGTCAATCGTGACATTTTTTTTGGAGGGGTCATTGTAAGAGTAAAACGTAGACGAATTCCATGCATTGATTCCTGGTTTTCCCCACTTTGACACCACTCGTACTCGAGTAGAGTAATTCAAGATTCATCGACCCCCTTTAATCCTTGACTTGCATAATGGTCAAATATCTCTTATCACATGATCATCTGCCATCAGGGTGATGCGGATATGTTGTTCTTTCAGAAGATAGATATGACAACCTGCGCTCTACTCAACCGTCATCGTCACTCTTCAAGAAAGTGAAAACCTCAAATGAGAGGTATATTATGATTCAGATCCAATGCTATGCTATACCATACCATGCTATAATGTTATTATAAGATGTCTAAAATACATCACCATTCCCTCCCAGAAAACGACTAAACCCACATGACACTAATGTACCCAGATGGGAACCCCATAAACCACAGGAGCAGCTCCAGTCAAATAACAAAGTTTACAATCGTCCCTAGCCGAATTAACAGCCTGTACATTTGATATTTGTGCCAAAGGGATCAAAGCGGGTTTACGTGATGTTGAAACGTGTGAAGGGTTAAGATGAAGACGTTGAAAGACTGATGTTGATAAATGATCTATCTCTTTATCTGTAACATCCCATAGATTTGCTACTAAAGATGGACTGAATATGTCAGTGATACGATGTCACATCTCATAATCCCACTTTCAGCTTCTCAATTGTCTTTTATCGATCGTATTTTGATATGGGAGAGCTGAAACTGAAAGAGAGGGATGAGGAAAGAAGAACAAAAAAGGGAGGAAAGATGACACTTGAAGAGTAGTGAGACGGTATTATGTGAACAGAGAGAGGAAGATGTAAAAAACTCACCATCCTCCCATGACATAATCCCATGGAGTACCATAACGATCTAGATCTCCCGCATCTCTCAATTCACCAGAAGAACATCCCCACAACATGACACTTGCGCATTTTGGTAAATGGGCGATTGCCTTACTACGTACATATTGTTCTGCTCCACCATGACCAAAGTATCTTCAAGTCAGCTGATGTACACTGAGCGTTCTTCCTGGTCTCTCCATCCACCTCCTCACATCACACCCAAGTAAGGGAATACACTAGCAAGCGTTTTACTCTCACCACTGCTTGGGACAGGGAAGCTGGCTTCGAGAAAGAGGCAAAAAGCAGAAGTACGGTGGAGTAATGGGGCTATTTGATCACTCACAAAACCAAATCATTTTCCTTCAACGCAGTAGTATATTCCAATTCAGTCGGAGGTCTTCCTTTTATACCTTTCCATCCTGATCTCTTTGTCATACTATCAATCCAAGGTTCGAAGCTTTCTTGTGTCCTTTTCAAGTCTCCCGAGGGGTTTAAAATATAAAACGTCTTTTTAGAATTCACACTTCTCTTCGCTGGGTCTGACCCTGGATGGAGATGCAGACCCAAATTGACTTGATCGAGAAGGAAAGGTAAGGATGGGATACGGGAGATGGGACGACCACGGAGAATGGGAAGGGATTCCCAGGGTATAGGAAATACGTTTTTGTCAAGTGCGAGGAAAAGATGTTCAGGTTCCGTAGGGGTGGCATTGGTAGTGTCAATCTCTGCTAAGAGAGATTTCACATCTACCCCTATCTGGGACATCAGTACCTGTGTCAATCCATTCAGGATACTTCATCTTCCAACGAGTTCTTGTCAAATCCTTCTGTAGCGAAGACTTACTCCAGTACATTGACCGATTAAAGATCACGATGATTGTGGTGAAGACAAAGTGAAATGGATGGAAAATAGAGACGTTGGAGGGCAATGATTAACTCCACTTACCTGGTCAATGTCCAACTCCGCAAGGGCAACAGGCACCCCATGAAATTGATAGATGTCCAAGATGAAATAAACCAAATCTTCGATCTCTTCATCGCGTGATTTCGAAGACAATGTGATGAAACATTCCAAAAGGGCGTCGTCCAGATGAACTTGGTGTTTACTGATAGCGATACCATTTCCAGATAGGGCATATGCAAAGATCCGGTCAAGCTTCGTTCTGAATTCTTTCAGCTTTTTGGTTGATCGACCTTGTCGAGAGCTGAAGATAGTCTATTCGTTAGCTCACCCTTCTTCGAGCAGTACTCCGAGAGCCCAGAATGAGAGCTAACAAATGTCAGTATCCATGACGGCTGAGGGGACAAGGTAGTTAGACCCTGTTGATTGCCAGCCTTAGCCGGAGGAGGGCAGAGGGAATTCGTGTACCAAGGTTGATGGAGAATGTATGAGACTGCTGTAGAGTTGAAACGGTATGGGGAAGACCCACCTTGAAAGCCCCCAACCAACAAAACTCTATAGTCTCTACCAACGTCTTCATTCTCCTATCCAGCGCTTGTCTCACAGCCCACCAATCCTTCTTAGCCGCTGTCGTATCTGCTACATCCTTCGCTGACCTAGCACTCTGATCACTAGCTTCGATGATACTCTTCAATTCACTTATAGCCGCATCAAACGTAAAGAGGTCGTCATCACCTTCTCTCCTCCCTTGTCTATCGAGAGGAAGACAGAAAACAAGTGGTTCGTGATCTTTCTGATGACGAGTGACGAACATTGTGTTCCTATCATCTGTCACATTGATACTAATCACTGCCCATTCTGGAGGTAATATCGATAAATCAAAACCTGACTGATCGATGATAGATCCTGTGGCATACCGTTCTCTTACTGAGGTCCAGTATTGACGAAGGATTCGGTCTTCCGATTCTGATTCTGAATCAGAGTCATTAGACAAAGTGGAAGACGATGGGGGAAGGGCACTGATGGAAGGAAAGATCATATCGTCCATATGTGGATTGGGAAATTTCATATCAATCGCTGCAATTATCTCTCTTGAAAGAGTGAGGGAAGGACTGTAAGCTAACATGCTAGCGACGGAATTAGTGATTGTTCCTGAACCCATTCCTAGAGAAGTCTGAAAGGTGCCCAATAGAGCGAGAGATACAAGAGCCTGTCGGATATCTTCTACTTTACCACGTCTCGTTGATATTTGTAACCCAGAAGTGTAAGCTGATTCAGCGCGAAGGAGAGCGAGTTGAATGTTATGTCTCGTGGACAATCGATCTTGTACACGTTTCTTTGGATCTCCCATAGGTAGAGCGATAGTCGATTCAGTGAGAGAACTCATAAATAAATCCGTTTTGAATTGATCCAATGCGTCGTGTAATGCCAATCGCCCTTCGAGGAGATATTGTTCAGCTTTCACTTCCTCTGAACAATCGCGTAATTCTGCCAGACGGGATACCACGTTCTTGTATTCGGAGATACCGGCTTCACATAGCATCCAAGCTTGTCGCATCAGGACCTGAGATAAAGCTACGGGTAGTAAAGGATCCTTGGGGACGCTTCCGAGAGATAATCTCATGAGGCTCATTGAGGTAGACAATCGACTGATCGAGGTCGATAATCGTCCACCTGTGCTTCTCTCAGGAGAAAGCATCTTCTTCTCGCTGGCGGTATAGATTCCTTCCAAACCTGAAACACTTTGTAAAGCCAAATCGAAAGCTTCTTCGGCTTCTTCCGCCAAGTCCTGTCGGAAGAACAAGTCACCTCGTATACGTTCTACATCGATTGTATCGGGCCCTTGAAGAATTCGTAATGCACCAGAAGCTTCGTTCAGTTTTTCAGAAGATTCTTCCATTCGGCGCATACGGTAACGCAGGTCAGCCAATCGGGCCGAGACTCGTGCTAACAAAGTAGACGATTTGATGGCTTTTGTCACTGCTTCGGCTTGTTTCAGATAATATTCGCATTCCTTCACTGAACCTCTGGCGGCGAGAGTATCCGCAAGAATCAACAAAGCATCAATGAAGCTCTCCGCAACAGCCCACTGAAGACCATGTAGATGTCGACCGGACAATACTGATGGACCAGTCGATCTGGAAGGTCGATCATCTTTGGGAGGTTCGTCCGCTCCCTTGAGTTTCATTGGTAATTCGGTGAAAACGTCGTCGACCGGTTGTGCTGCAGGTATTCGCGGGTCGTCAGGGGCAATCCTGCAAACCATATCGATTGCTCGACTCCACAAACGAAAGTTGGCTTCATAGTGTCTCAAAGCAGCAGAGGGATCATCTCTGACCAGAGCCAGCGCGGCCAAAGCTCGTCGAGCTAGTGTGACGTGTTCGATCTGTCCATGCTTTGTTAAGATACTAGACTGCAAGGAGACGTTGCTCGGAGTTGGTATAGTGCGTAGGATTGATTCAGCGTCTGAGAGTGCCACGATGGCATCTTCGGGTTTCCCGGATGCTATGAGATACAGGGAATGTCGGAGATAAAGTTCGCTTTTCACGTTCCGCGACATGCTTGGATGGTCATGAACATATTTGAAAGCTTGAGTAAAAACTGCCTTGGCACGAGAATGCTTGCCTAGAGCCAAATACTGGCTTGCGAGAAGAGCAGAGTGTCGGATATATCCGTCCAAGTGAGAGTCGCGATGTCGTTCTAATGCACGGAGGATTTTTAGGGTGTCGATTTTCAAGAAGACATGACCCAAGAGGCTTAAGAGGGAAGAAAGAGCTTCAAGAAGAGCAATAAGACGATCGATATCCTCCAATTCCGTCACCAAGCTACTGCTGATCCTGCGCTTAACATTCGTTGGACTAGGGGCAGACTTGGGAGTATTCTTCACGACTACGGCCTTCATGAGTTCACTTTTTGTTTGAGTGACGGACCTGGAGACGGACCGAGGGGTATTCTTGGTCGCACTTCTGACCGTGGCCGCCTTCGTAAGGGGCCGTTTGACTCCGTTGCTCTGCGTTTGGGCTTTTTGTGGAGAGGGCGCTTTGGATGGAGGAATGATCAATTGTCGTACGCTGTCGAGAGCAGCAGTGGCGATGTCGACAATGTCTTGGGCCGGATCGGTCGAAATATGGTACACCCTGATGGCTCGGATGAGCTGTACGACAGCCATCAGTTCGGTTCGATAGTGTACCAAGGTCCTGTCATTGCCTGAAGTATTGTAACGTCCAAGGAGGTCCGCCTCGGCGGCGAGAGAATCGAATTGGTCATCACTATGACCTGACGTGGAGATATGCACGAGTAGCTCCACCAGGACTGTCAGTCGTCGGACGGGATAAACGCCAGCGTCATAGGTGATCAGTGTAGCTTGAAAAAGTTCGGTCATCAATTGGGGAGCGTCTGTCCTAAAACTTTTGGTCTTTAGCATGGAAAGGAGGCTCTCGCCTAAAGCACCAACAGCAGGGCTGGAGAATCGTTCCGAGAGATTGTGGAAGAAAGTCATGAACCCCGACCGATGATTGGCAGGATCCCAAAGTAAAAGGTTGAAGACGTTCCGGAGGAGAATATTGAGAGTGGGAAATTGTTGCAACGCGGCACGTACCGGCTTCTCGGTGACGGCCATGGCGAACTCGTTCAGAAGATCGATGGATTGGTGATAAAGTATCTGACAACAAGCGAGCAAAGCGGCCTTATTATTAGTCTTAGTCGGGGTTCTCTTCATGAAAATGTCACTCACATTCCTATCCCCCAACTTATTATGACACTCGCAAACAAGCTCGTAAGACATGACCACGAGACGTTCCACTCGTCTAAGCTTCTCTTCTACCGCACCCTTATCGTTTCCCTGCAGTCCATCACCTTGTGCTTCACGGGCCCAATCACAGCTAAGTTCCCCCAAGCTGAGCGCCGCGACTGTGTGGCCATCTTTCCACATGATCCGACCAGAATTGAAAGCGGCGGTAGAGAGACATAGCAGCCAACCGTTCTCCTCCGACGCTTTGAGATGAGTATCGAGTGATTTCACCAATTTGTGTGCCCTGGTCAGGGGTTGAGCAAGGAGAGTGAAGGTGATCCCTGGAGTTATCTGATCGCGTAAATTCAGGATCGTGGAGGCATCAATGGCTGCCCCAACAAGGCCTGAGCCTAAGCGGACTCGGATCTGCCTGCTCAGCGTGATCGACGAATGATGAGATTGACTTCACCTCTTCAATCTCCAGCAATTCTTCAACGCATGTCAAGTAGCCAATGATCCAGTCCCGAACTCCACTACATGTTGCGGGTTTCTCTGACGGCCCTGGCTGAAGGATCTTGACACATGCCCTGCGGAGTCGCTCGAGTGCACGGAGGGATTTGTCAATGATATCGACAGCTCCTTCGTCAGAGTAGACAGGCGCGCAGGCTATGAGGGTGTGCAGGTCGGTATGACGAAGCGCGTACGTAAGCATGGTGACATCAGTAGGGCTGGGGTGGTCCGCTATGTAATCAGAGTCTGCGCCAGTCTCAAGATACGGACTTACCCAGACACTTCTCTGCCAACATTTGAGCTTTGACCAGATCAGCTGTCGCGCGGGGGAGAAAGCTGAGGGCTTCCCTGGCCGAAACGATAGGTGTGGTTGGCGAAGAATCTGGCAGAGAGGAAGAAATCACAAATGGGTCGGACGTTGGAGTTTGAGTTGCAGGACTATTGGTCATAAATGTCGATGCCTTGTCTACTACAGTCGGATCTTTCAACTACACTGTCAACTCGAACCCTCATGGCGGTAAAGGGATGTAGGATTGACCTGTCTTCCGAGCTCGACCCACAGATCTGACAACTTCCTCCATTCTTTCCCGTCAAACCAAAGCTGCCTTTCTCCCCTCTCTCGAGCGATATCAAAAGCCCAGGCCGTGACACTTTCTAGACACTCGGCAGCCGCTCTCGGTCTCTCGGTCCCGCCTCTCCCTTCTAAGTGGTCTATCAATTGCCGCCGCATAGCTTCCCATATTTGCGCAGGAGTGGTGCCAGAGGGTGACTCTCCGGCAGTCGCTATCAATGCCATGGCGCTGAAAGCTAAGCGCTTGACCATAAATATATCGGGTGTGAGAGGGGAAGTGAAGGGAACAGTCTGCCGATAGAATAGTAGAATGTAGGGCTTGAGGCCTTCGGAAGAAGACAGCGTACGTGCTATCAACAGTGGATTCAAACCACCGGAAGGGGCTCTTGTTGGGAGAAGTTGTCGCTTTGGATCAGCCTGAGTAGAGTTTAGAGGAAGCTGCTCACGAAGTCGATGGGTGTTCTAAGTGCGATCGCGATGGTCCAGCTCATAAACAACGCTTGACAAATCACTTGTTTAAGCGTCTCAGTCAAAATATCCCCATCTGGGGATGGCATGTCTAGGAGATTTTCCTTCACCGTTTCCTGACCCGCATGTTGGTAGAGCTTCAGTAACCTCGGCCTGGTTTTGACCTGAACTTCCATAGCTCTCTCCCACTAATGAATCAGCTACCATACTACCGGTCACAGATATAAGATGATTACGAGGCCAGAATGATCGGATATTGCCATTATACTAGACACTCACCATGTTTATCTGACACAGTCTCAGGGTCAAATTCTGAGAAGCCCTTTCCACTTCGATAGCCTTGTTCCCTAAACGGCCCTGATCCGCCATCCTCCTCAATACAAGTAGTGCAGTTTCGGCCATGTCCACACATTCCAACACCCTACTCTCTTTCCAATTCTCGACGGCCACACCATGTTTGTAACCCGCCCGCAGAGCATTGCAGAGGACAGTCATCGAAGAGCTCAATGCCGACATGGCCGCCTGGGCTCGCTGAGAGGGAGACATATCCGACTCGTCGGATATCCATGGAGCATCCTGTTGATTGATCAACCTTTGCTTACCCTTACTGTTTCCGAACCTGACTGTTTCCACCTTATTGGCCTTGGCGACTTTGGGTGGAAGTTTTGAACTGGAAGCGACAGTAGTGGATCGCGTGGCATTTGCTGTATTGACGGCTTTTACGACCACAGATCGTTGAATGGCGGTTCTCGGGGCGCTGGGACCAGCGACTACGACGTTCTGCTTTCGAATGGATGTCGTTCTGGGACTAATACTACCCTCTGGCTTGCTGGTCATGGGCGCGGGAATGTTCTGAGAAATCTTCAAAACCCTCTCGAGCTCCTCTTCCAGCCCGGTGTCTTTCTCCTTCGCCTTCCTTGTAGACCTCGGTAGCTTTCGGGGAGATCTTGGAGGTGCTGGAGGCCTGGCTACCTTTGTGGACATGTTGTAGGGAGGATATGATGGATGGGGGAGGGGGAAGGGGCGAGGGGCGAGGGGCGAGGTGAGGGCAAGAAAGAAGTCAAGCGCGTTAGTGTTGATTGGAGTGGTGACGTGGTGACGTGGCATTTTGGATACTGCGTCAATTTTGATTCCGTCTTTTGTTTTGCCGCTCTATATTTACTCTTCCACCTCATTGACAATTCTATACCGCGGAAAGCATCATGGTGAGTCCCCGCGTACTGTATACTTATCTGACATCATGGGCATGAGCCGAGACTGTGGGATGGACAGTGGCGGGGAAGAGTCCAGGAGGTGGGATGGACAGGAGGGCAAGTTGGAGGTGGAGAAAGATTCCGGGTCGGGAGTGTTGACGATCAGATCATACCCGTCAGGTGCTTCAGTTGCGGTAAAGTCATTGGGAATCTGTGGGAGAGCTGGATGGAGCTACTGGCAGCGGGTGTGAATGAGGGGTGAGTGACTTTTACTGCTCTCTTACTGCTTTCTTGTACCCTCGGAACGTGACGACACCCCAAAGTATCATAAACCCTGCACCTCGGTCGGATGTTCCCGATGACAACTCCCTCACTCGCACTGTTCCTCCGGAATGTCCACCCTTTTGGAATATTGATATGGAGCTGTCATGTCAAATGCTCGAGGCTTGATCAGCCCCATCATGATCATGATATTTTACCGGAGACGATATCTCAGGCGGGATTAACTTATTGAACGAAGTGTGCTGACAATACAGTGAAGCGCTTGACAGGCTTCAACTGTAAGTCATGCATTGCTCTCCAATCGACCCGAATTGACGAGTAGGAAACGGTATTGTTGTCGACGAATGGTTCTCACTCACGTTGACCTTATCGAGAAATTGTTGATGTACAACCGTGAGCTCTATCCCCCATCATTTGGAATTCTGCTCATCCGTAGCGCATGAAAAGCATCAATGATCCCTTCGATCCATTTCTTCATGGTTGCCCTTCGACCTTTTGTTAGAGTTTCAGGATTGACACGTCTCGGTACCTCCATACCATCGAAACTCGTCATCTTAGTACTCTCTTTAGATGCATCGATCCGTCAATCCAGCCCCTTTATCCATCGGGCGCGTCAGTCATACAATGCATGTATTATCCTAGTCCCGCCCTCAGCTACTCCATGGACAAAAGCACTCGGTAGCATTGACCATGATCCCGACATTCGCTTCCGATCGAGGTGCGGTGTAGAAGGTGGATGCAATCTGGTTAGTGGCACTTGTGTCCAGTGGCGGAAATGCCGAATTGTCCTTACATCCGCACGGAACCTCTGCTTTCCTCCCCTTCAGTTGTGAGCAGCATGGACAGGGTGATCAGACAACCAGGGATGGAGGTGGGTGGAGCGGAGTCAGTAGCATGTGACAAGGATAATGCAACACGAAGATGGTGATTGGACAGTGAAACTGGCAGATACCATTGAGGCCACTCATCAACGTTTTCATTTGAGTGTCCGTGCCGTGCAACTATCGCTCATCATCGTGAATCAGCTCTCTCTAACTCTCTGATGCATGTCACATACTGTCATCCTGTCTTCAGTATCAGACTCGACCAGGGCCTGAGGTCTCCCATGTCAGAGCAACCTTGTCTCCTTAGGGTCGGAGAGACCCTGAAGCTTCAGATCGGGTTACTGGCCGTGGACCGTCTTTTATTCTCTTAGACAGAAAAGTCGTGCCCAAGGATTTAGTCACGTCCCACGCCAAAGCACGTGCATGAGCATTTGTTCCCCAAAGCCAAAGACCTGCAAGCTGTTCCGGATTCAGCCCTGCTTGCACCCTCCTCCACCAGAGATTGGTGGATGGCCCCGGGTGGTTAAAAAATTTGGTCCACAAGACAGAGGCATCATCATACTTTATCTGCCCTTTAAGGTCTGCTGGTTCAGGAGGGAAGACAAAGCGGCTTTCCTTCCGAGGATTGACCGTCGGACTAATGTGTGTTGGTCGGGGATTATTCTTCAAGAGCTTAGAAACCGCTCCAACTGACCCCTCAAGGTCGCAAAAGTCCAAACCAACAGTACCCACATCATTTTCCCTCAATATCTGATCTTTCAAAGAGCGCTTTGTCTCTGGTTTCAAGTGTGTGACTGTTGCAATACGCCAATCTCTCTCAGTGTCACAGACTGCTGCCAGCCTTAGCATTTCCTTCAGAATAGCATTTGCCTTTGCAGAATCAGGGGTCTCTCTATCCCATGCATTAGACAAGACCTTGAAGGTATTTGCTGGAATATAACCACAATTCTCATTCTTCCCATAATTTTGTGGGGGATGTCCTTGTAGTTCATCTGCCAGCTCACTCCAAAGGCGAGCTTCAGACACTCTAACCGCAGAGTGTTGTGACAGGTTTGGACTGTCACAGACTCTGACTTTTGGTTGCCCAGAGTTGGCTGGCGCACTAGTTGCTACTGAGTGGCCTGCATTTGAATCGGCTGATTCAAGTAGTGAAATTGTTGACTTCTTCTTCTTCTTCTTCTTCTTCTTTTTATCTGTCTTTAGGCCTTCCTCTGTCCCAGTTGTCAAGCTGGGTGTTGGTCCCCCCCTTACCACACCAGGTGCTTCAACAGCGCGTTTGTCTGATGACTGGTCGACTGTAGAGGTCATGGCCTCGCTCTTCCCTGTATTAATCTGATTCTTTGAATATCCTTCTGTACTGATGGCCTTGCTTTCCTCCTCCGGCAACCCTCCCCCCTGATACATGACACCCGCTTTTTTGAAAGCTTTTGAAACCACATCAGGATAGTTGGTGCATAGCTCCCAATGGGTATTAGTGTTGTACCAGCCGCCCTGAGTTGCTAGTTCAAATGTCCTCCGAGTCGTTCCCAAAGATTGAAAGTGCTTAGTGACACCCTTCACTGTCTGCTTTTTACATTCTCTGGGGAGTATTTGTTGGTTCCACTGCATTGATATGCTATCCTCTGGCAAGGATGGTTTATGCTTGGAAGCAGTGTGCGCCTCAGTCACTCGGTGTGTGGCCATGCTGTACCACAGGATTTCACTGGCAAGTTCAGGATCATCTACCGGGATGTGAGCTGTGAGAATCCTAGTATGTGAAAGCCCCTTTTGTGATGCTTCTGCCAAAATCAGGAGAGACGCCTCAGGAAATGCCCAGTTGAGAAGTATGGTTGGGCGCCTCATAGACTCATCAAAATCCATGAAAACATCTTGAAGCAACTTTGTAGAAGCTTCAGCGAGATCCGCCTGCGGTGGGAAATCACCACTCCCCCGCAATCCCGATTCTGCAGTCTCCCGAATCCACTGGGTACCGAGGAAGTTTTGCAAACGTTGATGAATGTCGGCATCGAGGGAGGAAGTGTCAATTTGGGACCTGATGGATATGGCCTCTGCCTTCATTTGTATAGGATACTCAATTGGCTCAACCCACTTTGGTACGGATTCTGGAGAGGGCTCAAGTATTTTCCCACCCACAGCATCTGCCTTATGTGTCAGGGTTGTGTCCTTCGAAGATTTTGTCCCTTCTTTTTTGAGCTGCTGTTTTCCTAGGGTTGGTTGGGCCGGGTAGTTGAGGGTTTTAATCTCTGCTACACTGACCTGTTCTTCCTCTGTTTTGTTCTTTGGGGAGATGTTCTCACTGGCAGTTCGGACAAGACTCTCTCAATCATTCCCGTCGAGTCCCGTGTCCTGATGAACCATGTCGCTGTCAGTTTGAAGGGCTTGCGAACTATCTGGTCTGACTGAACACGACTTCGGATCCCTGCGGGCTGTTGGGGTCTCGTACCAGTCTGAGGGTAACTGACCATGGAGTCGCAACAGCCCGGACGGGTCAGTAAGACCGTGAAATTTCAGTAAGTATTCCATCCCATATAGTACAGACCATGATTGATCACTCTTATAGGGAGGTGAATCTTCATTGTGATCTGAATCTCTACCTGTCATCCCTCGGTTCATTTGGGGTGTGGGCAAGAAGTTTGCAAATTTGTGAGAAGGGGGTGTAGGTAAAGAGATGGTTGAATTTGAATGAGGGGAGTAGGAGGAGTGGCCGGAGAAAGAAGCCCTCACGTCAATGGATACGTGAGAGACCTGAATCAGACCGGGAAGGGGGCCGTGCATGGCAGTGTAGTCAAGGAGAAAGGTGTGCTCTTGGATAGATGCTATGATTCTTACCTTTCACCATTTCCCACGCCTCAAGCATGAGCGAGAATCCGTTGCGCACGACTCATGAATTATCCGGGTTATAGCCGGGTGGTGGGATCTAGGTAGATACAGGGATCAAGAGGGAGAAGGGAAGTCCTACTCCCGGACACGTTTACCTATCTGGACGACCACCATAAATATGATACACGACTTTCGTCGACTGGGGTCAAAAAGGAGAGATCCAGCCCACCTGAGCCGGGACAAACCTGAGCCGGACAAAAGGGTAGAGAACACAGTATAAGGGCCCGGTCTGAGGAAGTCAGAGATAGTACTGTGCAGTCACCAGGCTGCCGTGGGACGAGGTCAAGAATAGCATCTCCCCTCATTCCCCCATACGTGAAGTATGTATCCGTAGAGCATTCTTGAACGATGTTTTTATCAGCCATTGGAGATCATGTGGAATTAATGTACCAGATCCTTGCCATGTCAACTCACCACGGGAGTAGAGATGACTCCTGCAAAGTTTTACAACCATCCATCTCTCGGCCACTGAGAAGACTAAAACTGTCTGAAAATTGACGGTCTGATGTTCAAAAGGGCACCATGGACTACATACTACTGATCACCTTTCCTATATAGTGTCCCATCTCCAGTTTCCGGTGAGGATCCAGCCAGATCTGCTGGGAGGTGAATACCCCTACCAGCTTAAGCCGTGACGTTCAGCCAAGGTCAATTGCGTTGAGAGCATGAGTTCAGGAGACCACCGGGTTTGAGGTATGATCCTCCACCGTGTTCCCAAGGAAGCCGGCGCACGAGAGACATTCACGCATGAGCCCACTGCCAAAGGTGCATCACTTGGTACTCAGAAATGAAGATGGGGATAGAGTGGGGGAAGGAGAATTGAGTCAGAGAAGAAAAGTTTCAAACTCCTTCCATCAACTTTCACTTACCGGTTCGAATTCCGACCTTGTCCTTCCCTTTCTCCACTGCACTGGCCAAGTAGCTTGGATCATCTCCCTCTCTCACACATCTCCTTGATTACTGTCTCACGATTTGAGTAGTATCCCTGATGTCTCATCGTACTAGGAAAAGGGCAGAGCTGAGGAGGAGAGCAAAAGACAAAGAATCAGAAAACAGGGAGGCAGAAAACAAGAATGACTTGATGTTTTCGATCAGAGAGCATGTCTCTGTCGATCCAGTTGGGGATTATTATCGTCAATATGGAAGTTTGATAGAACTGACAAGGGAGCCTGGAACAGGAGGGGCTATTGATCCTATATTTGTGCAGCTCTCTCGGGAAGAACCTGGGGATCCATGGAGCCTGATTATATCCATGAGTCATCTTGATTATGAGGGAAGTACAATGGATGAGCCCGAAGATATTGAAGCGTTCTTTACAGTATGGACAGATATTGACAAGCGTAAACCCAAGCATTCGAATCCCGACTGGGTCATTCGATATGTGAGTCTTTGTCACAGGGTTGCTTCTTCGTTAACTTCCTACGACCGACGGCCAATAACTTCGTGGGCTTCGACCTTTACCAACTTCGTTGTTCGAGATATGAAATAGGTGACAATAACTTCTGGGTGTAATAACTTCGTACTTTACTAACTTCTATCACTAAGACAACAACCAGAGATCGTCAAAGATCTCTGGGAACTTCGGCCCTTAAGTACTTCGTCCTTCCCTAACTTCGTCAACGCAGAACTTCGTTCAACCCGACGTCCCGAGCTTCGTACCTCACGAACTTCGTCCCCGACGAAGTTCGTGCCTTCCTAACTTCGTATCCTCCTAACTTCGTATCTCCCTAACTTCGTATCTTCCTAACTTCGTATCCCCCTAAGTTCCTACATGACTAACTTCGTCCTCGACGAAGTTAGCCTCCTAATACCCTCGTGGGTGGTGAAGTTCATGCGAACTGGGTCGTTGATGGCGAACTGATGTCCAAAGGAACTTCGTTTGATGGGAAAGGATAATGTCACGCGGCGCCGCGTGACAGTCGCCCCCTCCTTGAGCGCGAACGTCCTCGTGAGCGAACATCAACGCCGAAAAGAACAAAACAACTCAGCATGAAGTTCGGTTCTCACCCTTCTCCTCAAACCAACTTCCTGACAATGTAATTCCCGTAATGAAATTCCAGGAAAATCTGAAACCTCCTTTGGCTACGCCGCCTTCCTTACAACAAGATCGCCATCTACCGAACTTCGTAACTTGCCTCCTAGACATTGGAAAATCGTGGGGGAAATTCGTATGTGACAAGAAGATATGACAATGATAGAGGAATTTTATGTATGGGGAATGGGAAGCAATAATCTGTTCGTGAGTGCAGTATCCATGAGTGCAAGTAGGAAACCCCTTAGCCTAAAAATTTTCTCTCGTATCCAGGGATCTTCGTGGTATCCTGGACTCCATGAAACACAACGTTGACGACGGGAACACCCTTATCTGTTGTCAACAGCAACGAATTTCCCCTTATACTTTGTGAGTCGACGAACTTCCCCCCCTAACTTCTTCAATTCTAACTCTCTTCTTACATCTCAACCAACTCTCTCACTAAATTCATCTCTTCATACCCACCATGGCCCCGTCTACCCCTCGAAAACTCGTCAAATCTCCTCCTTCGAACGTTGCCCGAAGGACTCGAAGCAGTAAGTTCTAATTGCCTAAGAATTTCGTGGAGAAGTTTCGTGTCATGGCTGATGTTAGTGTCCCGGGTCCAGTCTCCCCCTCCTGCTCCTCCTTCGTCCTTCGTCCGCCGCCTTGCCAGCTCGGCTGGCCTTCGCCTCTCTTCCTTGTCGGCCGCTCTCCCTTCTCTGTCGGCGTCTTCCTCGTCTTCCGCGCCTCCCGCTCCCGTCGCCGGTCCATCCTCGACTCCGGCCAAGAGAAAAGCTCCCTCGAAAGAGGCGAGTTTAAGAAGAAAATCTTCCATCCTTCGGTCTCCTAAGAAGAGACATCGACGAACTTCTTCACCAATATCGGTGTCCTCTTCCTCTTCGTCCGCTTTGTCCTCGCCCACCCCCGCTCGCAAACGGGTACGGGTTGAAGCCCCCTCTTCCTCGCCTGTTCCTCGTCCGGGAACGGTAAGAACTTCGGCGAGTCTCTTGGCCCTCCTTGCGGCCCAACCTGGAAGGTGGGAGCTTGCTCCCAAGGGCGAAGAATGTGATCGCTGCCGGTGAGTGAATCAAACTTCCCAGAACGTAACAGATCCTAACTTCCAGTGACGAGCAATCTCGTCACCCCGACTTCCCCTGTGTTCGTCCTTGTGGGACCAACCGCGGTACACGATGTGCATCGTGTACATCAGGTGTCTGTTCCTTCCTCCCCCCTTCCCCTGCTAAACAGAGGAAAGTCTCGACAACTTCTCGCTCTTCGCCCGTCGCTCGCTCGTCGCCCCCCGCTGCTCGTCGTTCGGTGTTCGCGACCGAATCTCCTTCGTCATCGGACGAACTTCCCGGTCTTCCTCCTCCTCTTCGGAGAAACGGTTAGCAGCTATGACCATGGTAGCTCTTCGTGCAGCAGACATGATGGACGTACAAGGGGTCATCATTCGCCGTTTCCTTAATCAAATTCGTCTTTTAACCCGGAACTTATCAAAGAAAAGTTCTCATATTGGATCTGCTACTCATAGTTTGCTGCTCGAATGGAACGAACATCTCCTTCGTACTGGTCGCCACGCTATCTTCGGCCATAAGTTCTGGGGAGAGATCAATGATACCATCGGGCGAAAGGAGCGTGATCTGACTGGTGTCGCGGTTGCTGGGCCCAGCACTCAAGGACTGAGGGACGAGGTTCGTGCGGCTAGTGAGACGTTCTGGGATGCTAACTGGCGGATGAGAAACGTGATAAGAAACGATCCGTTGTTAGTGGTAGCCCGTGAAGAGCTTACTGATACTGAGGGAGCCCACTCATGGTGGGATGATAGTAGAAGATGGAGTCGTGAGAAACAATGACCCTCCTTTGGCCATCAAAACCCCATCACGCCTTAACCTTTTTACTCTACACGTAACTCAGGACTTCTGACACCAAGTACGGCGAAGTTAGACGGAGTTAGGCTAAGTAGGAACAATGGGAGCAGAAGTACGGCGAAGTTAGACGGAGTTAGGCTAAGTAGGGACAATGGGAGCAGAAGTGCGGCGATGTTAGGCGGAGTTAGTCTGTTCCCAAGAGACAGCATCATCAGTACGGCGAAGTTAGACGGAGTTAGGCTAAGTAGGGACAATGGGAGCAGAAGTGCGGCGATGTTAGGCGGAGTTAGTCGAAGGAGGAAGAGGATGGCCGAGGGCTCGGGGAAGTTGGACGAAGTGCGTTGAAGTACGTCAAAGCGCGAGAGGGTTGGATGAACGTCTAGGAGGGGTAGATAATATTAGCTGAGAAGATCGCTGAAGTTCTTCAGCGATCCTTGATTGTTGTCAGTAGTGAAAGACAAATAGAGATAGCTATAAATTCAAGATACATCGCCTTCAGTTAGAGCAAAACCCTAGTTCAGGAGTAACTACGCCGTAGTACGTCGTAGTTACACCCCTTTCGACGTCTGCGCC